CCGTCCACCTGCCAGAAAGGCACGAGCCATCGTCCGTAACAACGGCTAATGAGCGAACGGACGACCGACGCCAAGACGACAAATCTTTTGAATCCCAAGAGAGGGCTTTTGGAGCTGGGACTGTGTCTGTGGTACGGCTACCATCCGAGTTTCACCTGTACCGCCTGAGCATAGTCAAAACCGTCTGTCCGGGCCCGACTTATACGACGTCCCGTCCTCGAGTACGACTGTGCGCCTCCAGCGTTGTTTAACTATCACCTCAAATCCGTCCAACCGGGTCTGCTTTTTTCGCCAACAGGTTATCATTCTTGGAATAATACCGTCTCACACAACTCAACATGTCCGTCTTCTCTCTCATCAAGAGGTCGCGGCAGCAGGCCAAGGAGCACAGCCAGAAGCAAGCCGACAAGGCCAAGGAGCCCCCCAAGCAGCCGTACCGCCATGTGCCCACCCATGCCGCCGTTGACGCCCTTTCCGGTGCGCCGTCCAGCTGGAAGGCTGAAGACCGACCCAGAATCGCCGAGCAGAACCGCAGGAGGAGTGCAATGGCCATGAGCGGCTTGACCAACAACAGGATGCCTGGACCCAGCCTGCCTCGTGTTGGAAGCAGCCTCTCTCACGTCACGTATCCCTCCGCCCACGCCAACCCGGCAGGAAACATGCCCAGAGCCTACAGCTACAGCGGCGTGCCTGGCCCGATGCCTTGGGAGCAGCGAACCCTCAAGAACGCCTCCGTCTACTCCGTCCCCGACACCGCCCGTATCTCACTCAAGGGCAAGGAGGTGGACAGGTCATATGAGTCCGGCCACAACAGCCCGACATCGATCAAGGGTGAGTTCGGGGAGCGCAGTCCATGAGATGTTTTACTGACAGAGTCAGCCGGATCCCCCGTCGGCAGCTCCAGCCAGTCGACCTCCTCCCAGGAAGACCTCGAGATGAAGCCGTCAAAACACATGTCCATGCCGCCTCTTCCCACGGGCGCCGAAGGGCCTCGCAACCCTGCCATCTCCATCCACGCTCATCGTCTTCATCCCAGCTCCCGTCGGGCTTCAGATGCGTCAGATAAGGGCGACACTTCACCCAAAGGTCTCCAGCCCCAGTCTTCGCCAACCGACAAGACCCGGCCGCCGCCGTCGATGAGAGGCTTCAACGCCATCCCGGCCATGCCCTCACTACCGCCGATGCAGTTTCAGCCTCCCGCTCAGCCGGTCATGTCTTCGTCAGCGTCCACCCGCTCATCGACCCACGGATCCTTGTCCTCCTTTAACTTCAACATCAGCAACATGCCCTTCTCCGCGCCCATGTCCGGCAGGTCGTCCGCAGCCACCACGCCCGCCGCCTGCGTGACCCCCGAGCCCGTCTACGAGTCCGTCGAGGAGGAAGAGGAGACATCGTCGTATACCTACGCCCCCGCGACGACCGCCGCCCCCTCCGCCATGAAGCAAAAGGACCGCCGGAACGGGTCAAAGTCAAAGGTCACTCGCTTCACCGAGCTGGAGACGATCGACTCGCACACCGAGCAGCCGCCGCACGGCAGCATCCCCAGCGTCCCGTACGAGGAATCCCGCCAGGCGACGCCTCCCTACGTCTCCAACGACGCCATCAACAAGGCCATCGCCGTCGAGATGGTGACAGCCGCCCCGGCCGAGGTCGTCTCCGCGCCAAAGTCGGGTAAGCGGCTGTCCAAGCAGTCCGGCTCGAAGCTGACCAAGAAGAACCGCTGGTCAACAAAGAGCTCGCCCGTTGCGGTTTAAGCCCCCTGCTTCTTCATTGTTGTTCGAGACGGCGTTATTTAAGAGTAATGTTTTATATCAATCTGGCACATCCCGCCAGACCACACACCATGCAACACTTGGGACGGGAAAAGAAAGAAAAACACGGACAACAACATTTTATCACGATTCAAATCGCAGTTGCTGGCGCTGGACTTCAGCAACACCCACAACAGGACTGGACATTTCTTCAGGATCGAGGCTCTAGGATTCTCTTATTTCACATAACGATTGATGACAGATTTCTCTCATACCGATTGGGAAACTTATAGACAAACCTGTTTCATTAACTTCACTTTACTGTGTCAGATGGAGGAGGAGGAGGAGGCCACACGGAGGAATATCCTTGGAATGGGCTTGTAACCTACCTACCTACTTCTATTTTAGCCATGTCTGGTCTGATGTTGACGTGTCTCATTTACACGCTACATGTTCAGACGGTAAACGGACTGAAAAGAAGCAAAAAACAAAAACAAAACACATTCACACAAAACGTCATGCTTCCCCAGCACTTGTTTCTTGCTCCAGTGACGTATTTTCTGGCACATCGCATGGTACGAGTCTCACTGCTTTCTCGGCGGTGTGATATGCGAGACAAGGTGTAAGACAATACTCGGGAGGACGGCTGATGCCCCTTCACTCTCTCCGAAGGAACAGGAGGTCTCAGGCACGCACATACAATACGCCAGTCAAGTTTTAGACTCACGGATGCCGAAATACGATATCTTTAGGTGGTCCCCCCCTGGCGCCACACGGGAAAGTCTGGTTTGTAGGGCATTTGTCTTGCTTTAGTCCCCCGCCCTATTAAGTTGGTGTTTTGTGTGAACAGACGACGAGCTTATAATTAGTTCCGGCGGCATCCAGGAACGGGGGCGGCCTCCCCCCTCTTCGTTTCGCGCCGGTAGGTGCATTGCGATCTTCACAACTATCGAGTTGCCGGCCGCGCTTGTCAAAAATGTCGACATCTAGACTGTCCCGGCCCCGCGGTCGGGTCCTGGTCTGAAAGAGGTTGGGATCGTCAGGGATCAGGAAGCCTGGATCTTGAGTCTTTTCCCTCGTCTTCAGCGGGCCAAGATCTGGGCAGGCCAGCGTGGACCAAAGGAAACTATTGAAGCGGGCCGTTCCTTGGGGGTGCGGTGTGGGCGGCGGCGGACAGCTCAGCTGTTATCGAGAGCCTGCATGAAGCCTAGGACGAATCGAGTCGGGGCGAGTATTCAGACATGGCTGGCGGACACATCTCGCCCGTGCCTCTTCCCAGGTAGACGTGCAATATCGTCCTGGTTCGGCGACCTCCGCCTTCCTCGTTCGGTTTGCTGCTGTCATTATAAGAGATATTCCTCTGGGCGTCGTTTTCTTTGTGTTCCGTGCCAGTCTTGTCAGTAAGCAGTATTGACCGAGCATGCATGCAGGGCCATTCGAATATTGGGTGATGGCGGAGGATTGTGCAGCGCGTGGCATATGCAGTACCACCTGGCGCGCGCCCAATCTCTGTGTCTCTGCATTCCCTATCTGCTGCGGTTCACCTGGTTGCGCCCATCTCATTGGTCCCGGGGCCGGTCTTCTGCAGGTTCTCGGACGTTATATTGAGACGATGGGCTCCAGCTGGACGCTGGCAGTGCTCGGCGTTCCCTCTGCAGTCGAGTAGCCATGCCGTTGGTGAGAGGCCCGAGGGAAACATCGTTCTGGACCGTCGATAATCTGGTCATTCTCTTGGCTAGACTTGGAAGCCTCTTTCTGGGGAAGGGACAGATGGCTTGCGCAGCAATTTCCACCAGATACGCAATAAGGATTGTTTGGTGGCTTGAAGACGGAAAGAAGGCAAGGCTCGTGTGTTTATCAGGGCTGAGAGAAAACATCCTTTGGGCTTGGACGTCCCTCTGGTGGCTTCAGAAGCCGGCTGCAATTGGACCAGGTTCGATAGTGAGAGACGGGCCACGTTCTGGCTGGATCAGAGCGGCACATGGTGTTGTATGGTGACTTTCGTCAGCATGGCAGTCTCGTGTAAATTGGCGCCGTGATTCGATGCGACGATATGCTTGGGCTTGGTGTAGGTTTGGGGACGGGAGCAGCGGATTGCGTTATTAGCTCATGCGCCGCGTATGGGACCGATTGAACCCTGGGGCGGCACGCGCTGCGATATCAAGACTGTTTCCTGCTCCTGCAGTGTCATCGTTTCGGTTGTGGTCACTTATTGGCCTGGGTACTGGACCCGGAACTCGCAATGCCGTCCCAAGAAACCGTAACAAACGTGGGATGGTGAACCAAAGGGTAAGGGCCAGGCAGTCCAGAATAGGCTGGCGATTGCGCAGCCCTGGAATCTGTCGTCGCCTCCGGGTAGCATCGCGGGGCACTGAACCACGCCGGGTGCGGTTGCTGGAATGTGGGATGGTTCGGACCGCACCTCGGTATCTTTGTGTCTTGAAGCGGGTAGCAGAGAGCGTGGGAGGGTGGCTCGGCTCACGCGTCAACTCCATGCAACCTTGTTGATCCGGGACGATCGCATTCAGAAGCTGAGATATGCTGCTGGGTGTGTGGGGGCTTGACAAGAGGCTTCTTCAGTGTTATGATGGTCTTCCCCTGGTGTTGTCCTATTGAGCTGGTCACTCTGGTAGAGGTATAAATTTGGATGGATATCTTCAAGTTTGGGGATATCTAGTCGATGGAAGTAATGGGCTGCATGAATAAGCTGGGTCGCATCCAGGTGCTGAAGAACACCTCAAAAGACTCCAGACAGCGATTCTAGCAAAGTCGCTCGCAACGCAGTAAACCGCAGGGCAGATGCGCATCTGAAATTTGGCAGGCCAGTGCACTAATGCAAGGCTCCATCCCCCACGTCCCGAAAATAGAAGGACAGTTCCAGCGTCCCACAGGGGACCTTCCCCTCCACAGCATTCCGCTTACCCCAATTGGCCAGCCTCGTCAAGCCACAAAAGGGGGGCTTCTACGAGCTGTGCTGCAGGGCACTGAGCTGGGCCGTTCCGCATTACGTATCCCAGAACAGGTGTGCTGGAGCACTGCGCACCGCGTTCATCTCATTGTTAACCTCCCATCTGAGCTGCAGCTGCGGCAGTCGCAGCACCTTTTTTTTTTTTTTTTTTTCTTCTTCCTTCCAAGTTCCTTTCAGGCGAATAGCCAACGTGTTTTCATTCTTTCTCTCTTTTTTTCCTCACCCACTACACAGTGATCGACAGGGCGATTCCAGCCCACGGTCACACCCGCGACGGAGCTATGGATCACATAACCCAAGCATCGTGGCCGACTCTTGGCGTCGCATTGCTCGTCCTAGGCGCCTTTGGCCTCCTCACGGTAAGTCAATCCATGGGAGCAGTCCCAAAACACCTTCAACACTTTTCAACGGTACCAATTGACCCAAAACAGATCTTCATCACCCTACACCTCGTCGCACCAAAGCCCCGCGCCGTCCTCCCCTCCGAGAGGACTTACCTGACCTCCTCCACCTCCGGCAAGCCCGTCGCAACCACCGCGCCCTGCTGGTTCGACCGCTGGTTCGCCGAGCGCCGCGTCTCCGAGACCAATGCTCACCTGACCGACCCCCGCGACGTCCCCGACTCCGGCGCGACCATCGAGCCCGCCGACGTGCGCGTCACCGTCGTCCTGCCGGCCTACAACGAGGCGGCCCGCATCCTGCCCACCCTCGAGGAGGCCGTCGCCTACCTGGACGCCCACTTTGGCCATCCCTCCTCCGACACCAAGCCCATCCTCAGCCCGACCACCTCGCGCCGCCGCACCAAGAACGCCCCGTCTGAGGCCCTCTCCGGCTACGAGATCATCATCGTCGACGACGGAAGCAGGGACAGCACCGTGGACGTCTGCCTCGAGTTCGCGCACAAGAACGGCCTGCACGATGTCCTGCGCGTCATCAAGCTCGAGCGCAACCGCGGCAAGGGCGGCGCCGTCACCCACGGCTTCCGTCACGCCCGCGGCGAGTACGTCCTCTTCGCCGACGCCGACGGCGCCACAAAGTTCAGCGACCTCGGCCGTCTGATCCAGGGCTGCGAGGAGGTCGTCGACGGTTCGCACCGCGGCGTTGCTATCGGCAGCCGCGCCCATCTCGTCGGCAGCGAGGCCGTTGTGAAGGTGAGCTCCCTCGTCCCCTTCTGTTGTATATATGCTGACCAGACAACCAGCGTTCTGCCCTCCGCAACTTCCTGATGCGCTCCTTCCACCTGGTCCTGATGATCCTCACCCCGCCCGCCACTTCGCGCCTCCGCGACACCCAGTGCGGCTTCAAGCTCTTCACCCGCGCCGCGCTCCCCCACATCGTCCCGTATATGCACACCGAGGGCTGGATCTTCGACATTGAGATGCTCCTGCTCGCCGAGTCCGCGCCCCCGGCCCCCGTCATCGGAGAAGACGGCAGTGTTATTGGCACCAGCCCTGGCATCCACGTCGCCGAGGTGCCCGTCGACTGGCACGAGGTCCCCGGAAGCAAGCTCAGCGTCATCTCGGACAGCATCAAGATGGCTATTGGCCTGGCTGTGCTTCGAGGTAGCTGGATGATGGGAGTCTATCGTCGGAGGTTGACGTAGAGAGAGAGACGTGTTTTGGTACTTTTCTTTTTCATTGTTCATCTTGCATCGAGGAGTCAGGATGGGGCATGTTTGCCTCCACATAAAAGCAAGTGTAGGCGGGTACATTAGATGCAGGCATGAGTAGCTGCATGGCCAAATAGAGAGGGCGAAAGGCCCCATTTGAGAGCATGAAATGGTGATCATCGTCGCAGTGAGTGAGGATAAGGGTGAGAGAGATGTACGTCGTCCTACTCCTAACGTCAAATGGGACGCGGGATGTACAGAAAGCTCTGGAGAACCCATACCATCTCATCACCACCAGACAGGCACATGCTGTTGTTCTTCATTACAGATGGCACTGCTACCAGGGATGCTTACACGTGGTAGGTGTTCCGAATAAATGCCAAATTCGTGGCCGACACATGCAGCAAAGCACCCTGGTGGGTGTGTACACGTCTGAGCCATCAGGTGGCCTTTGTACGAGTTGCGAACGGTCAATCACGCATGGTGGCCTCAAGTCATTTGAACGAATTAATATTATTGTGTGGCCTGATACTCCTGTACCGCCCCGTTGATCCAATGATCCAAATATGTGTTGCCGCCCGCGCCTTGCATTATATGTACAGCCGAAATCCTCCTCATAGAGGATCGGGGGAATAAATCTCTTTTTTTAGTCTTCTTCAATTCATCACTCGTCCGCTTGCTCATGTCTCAAAACATGTCCTCATGTATGCCGTAAGCATGCTCTAGTTCAATTCGCGCCACATGACGGGCAAAAAGACGACGCTCGCCCTCCAGAGGATGAGGATGCCGTCAATCATCGCCAGCGGCAGCTTGAGGAAGCCGAGCGCGCCGCTCATGACCTCAAAAGCGTTCAGCCAGATGGCGAGGAAGGCGACGCTGAAGAAGTGATACGCCAGGCGTGTAGGCTGGTGCATGATGCCGCCCATGAGCGCCATGGGCTCGGAGGCGTAGCCGCGACGGAAGTAGTCGAAGCAGCCCAATTGCAAGGCGCGCAGCTGGCGGTCGTTGGCGGCGAAGAGGGCGTAGAGGGCCATGGCCAAGACGTTGATGATGGAGGTCAGGCTCTTGCGGCGCCAGTGGAACTCCTTCAGGACGCCCTCCAGGACCTTTTGATCGGCCAGGTTGGGCGCCTTGGAGGGCTGCAGCAGGTCCGAGAGGATGACGCAGTCGTTGAAGGCGACGGTCATGCCGCCGCCCGTCAAGGGGTGGCGCATGTTCATGGCGTCTCCAAGGAGAAGCATGCCCTTGGCCGTCTGGCGCGAGGGAGGGAGATATGAGTTGGGCATGGAGCGGGGAATCTTGCCGTCAGCGAGGGCGGCCTCGAAGCAGGGACGCATCTGTGGCGGGAGTGTGGGCATGACGCAGTTCTTGATGTAGCCGCGGACACCGCCGGCGGCTGGAGACGCCTCGGGGATGTTGGCAGGCACGTCAATGAGGGCGCGGGTCTCGTGTGTGCCGATCTGGTACAGGAGGATGGGGAAGGCGTTGCCAATGACAACGTGGCCGTAGCCAGGTGAAGGCATGGGGGCGTCGATGAGCTCCAGGGCATAGAACTTGGACTTGACCACGGGAGCCTGGGGGAGGTACTCCTTGCGGAACTTGGAGGCGTAGCCGTCGGCGATGATGGTCAGCTGGCCGAAGAAGTAGTCGTCCTTCGTCTTGCCCGTTGCCTTGTCCTTCGTCTTTGATCTCACACCGAGCACGGTGTCCTGGTCGTCGCCGCGGATCGTGGAGGTGACCTCGGTCTCGACAATGGTGATGTTCTCCTGCTTCATGCAGGCCTTGCGGAGGTTCATGATGAAGCGGCCGTGGTGGAAACTCCTGCCCTCCTTCTGCTTCGCGCTGGCGTCATTGGCGCCGGCGCTGACAATGCGGCCGCTCTCGTCCAAGGAGGGGTAGGGGATGTCGACGCCCTGGCCGTGGTAGCTGACCTTGTAACCGTAGCAGGGGATGGCATCGATGCCCTCGAGGCAGTCCGCCAGACCGAGCTGACGCAGGGCGACGATTCCGCCGGGCTGCATCAGCTCACCGACGATGCGGTCGGGCTCCTGCATCCATCTCTCGAGGAGCAGGACGCTTCTTCCTTGCTGGGCGAGGGCATAGGCGATACCGCAGCCAAAGACGCCGGCACCGACGACGACGACGTCGGCCTCGTGGTACTTACTGCGCCGCTCGGCGCGAGCTTCGGCAGCTGCTGTCGGACTCTCAATCATTTCGGTCGGCTGCAGAGGGTGTGTTTGGGTCTGTGGTGCTGCTGTTGAAGCAAAGGAGAGGGTGGGGAGGTCGTGTGTTTATCGTCGGGAGAGGAAGTGGGCTCCTGCGGTTTGGATGACGCTTTGATAGGGGTCCAAGTAGTTGGACGTCGGGGCCGAGCTGCTGCGTTGGGAATGCGCTCAAATCGGGTGGGGTGAGTTTTGACCGTGGGCGAGCGAGGAGGAGATGAGGAGAGGCAGTTGAAGAAGGAGCCGCCACCGCCGGTTCTTATGAAGGTCGAGCGTTCACGGGGAGATTTGAAAGTGGCCGCCGGTTGGAATTGTCGTTCGGCCTCGAACGATGGATGGCAGATCAGAAAGAAAAAAAAGAAGCGTGATGAGTGGACAATTTCAGGCTCCTGGGGCCCCTGCACCATGAACCTAGCTGGGAGGGTAGTTGCTTGCTAGCCCGCCAAGTGATTGAGTGACCTGCCGGGTTCAACGCCGCAACGGTTGTCTCTTTTTACACGGGGAAAGGTCACCGAACGGCGGGATTCTGCAACAGAGGTACGGGGACCACTACATTTTCAGCTCTTGACAGTCTTCTTAACAGCCAGCCCTGGCAGCAGCAGAGGCACACGATGGTTTGGTGCTGCAGCGAAGCTTACAGAGGATCCAGAAAAATTACAAGAGGCGATCTCAACGACAAGTCGTGCCATCGCGGCTCCCGCCGTCAGCCATGAGCCAATTGCAGGCGTCCAATTAGTGCCCACACACCGCCTCCTTCACGTGTCGAACGACCGTCATGCGCGTTGGATTCTCGCTCGGCCCAACCATCAGGCACGCTCCCCTGGCCGTGCCTTTTCGGTAGCTTGTCGTGCTTGTTTGACGGGCGACGTTTGCTGGTGCCCCAGATCTGCGCTGCGCTTGGAAGCCGTTTCCGGAAAGCGAAGCAGGGCTCTGGGCGACGAGAGTCAAGCAGCACCTGAATGAGGTGACGCCCCTGGCTCCAAGCTGGCCAAACAGTAAGCAGTGCCTGAATCAGACTGCTCGTCGTTGGAGCAGTCACGAGATAACCAAGATCGGAGCAGTAGTTGGTGGGTGGGAGACGTACGCGGAAAGGGGTGCCGCAGCGCCACTTTTGTGGTCAGAAGCCAATCACGACTCAACGTTGGTCAGTTCAAAAGTTGCACCACTTTCATTTGGCTCTTTTCAGCATGTGAATGCAGGCTTGTCAACATCAGACCACGAACAGGATGCGCAACAAGTAGACCACGCAGATGCAAGCGAATGCAATGTACGGTCTGCATCTTGAGGCCTTCATTCATCTGCATCATGTACACTTTCACTGCCCCATCCGTGCGCGGGTTGACATTCTGCCAAGTGCTTCAGCTCCGCCACGATCGGGATGCGTATAAGCATGATGCCTACAAATGTCTTGTACGGACACTTCTCAAAGTTGGCCTCGTGGCTGTCAACTGGGAATAGGTTTCACCTCGCAAGAATTACAACGGAGACTTGGGGACTTGGCACGGGGCAACTTATACTTCTATTTCTGGTTCTGGTGTCTGAGAAACTGCTTGGACCACTTATCGTAGCCCTCCAGCATCTGCGGTGTAATTGCCTTGGGGGACGCCTTGATCGCGGCCACTAGGTCCTCCATACAAACCTCTATCTCCTTCTCGGCGCCTTCTCCGTTTCCTTCAGCCGCCAGTGCCAACGCCTTCTCCACCGCCGGCTCCGTCGCGACGTTGACAATCTGCTTAATCTCGGCGCCGGAAAAGCCCTCGGACAGTCGCGACAGCTCGGCCAGGTCCACGTCCGCGGCGGTCGGCAGCTTGCGGAGGTACAGCTTGAAGACGGCCTCGCGACCGGCGTCGTCCGGCGGGCCGACGTACACGATGCGGTCGAAACGCCCGGGGCGCAGCAGCGCGGGGTCCATCTGCTCCGGCCTGTTGGTGGCCGCCAGGATGAGCACGCCCGAGAGGGCCTCAAACCCGTCCATCTCGGTGAGCAGCGTCGTGAGCATGTTGACGGAGCCCTGGCTCTTGGCGCCGCTGCCGGTGCGCTGTCCGCCAATGGAGTCGATCTCGTCAAAGAAGATGATGCTCGGGCTGGCCGCGCGCGCGCGTTCAAAGAGCTGTCGCACGGCACGCTCCGACTCGCCCACGTACATGTTGAGGAGCTCGGCGCCCTTGACGGCAAAAAAGTTGAAACCGGACTCGGTGGCCATGGCTTGCGCTGACAGCGTCTTTGAGCAGCCGGGCGGGCCGTAGAGGAGCAGGCCCTTGGGCGGGGTCAGGATCAGTTTTTGGACAGACGGATTGCTTGTGGTCGTGAGTTTAATCATTCTTTGCAGGGCCACCTTGAGGCTCTCCTGGCCTCCCACGTCCTGCCAGTGGATCGTCGGCGGCTTGAGGTTCACGTCGTGCATGGCTGTCGGCTTGGAGCTGCGCAGTGCCTGCTCCAGGTCCTCCCTCGTGAGCTGCTGCTCCTGCATCGTCTCCTCGTCGAAGCCGTTGCCGTCGGGGTCGAGTCGCTGTCTCGATGCGATCTTTGCGTTGTCGATGAGCCCAACAAGATCGTCGGCATTGTAGGCGTGCGTCTGCTGTGAGAGTCTGCCGAGCATCAAGTCCTTGATCGCCGGCTGGACGGGAATGTGAAGTGCCTTGAGAATCTCCAGCCGGCCCTCGGCGTTGGGGATTGAAAGAGGGATGCTCAGCCCGAACCTCGTGCGCTTCTGCAGCTCAGGGGGCACGTCCGTCATGTAGTCCAGGCAAGTGGCCACGACGACGACCTTGGGCAGGGCGCGGTTCTGCAGGGCTTCTTCGGCCAGCTGGTCGAGCTGCTGACCCAGCCTGTGGATGATGGCGCTCGAGTTGGCCCTGTCCTTGCCGATCAACGACTGGAGGCCGTCCATGAGGATGATGCTGGGCTGCTGGGACCGCGCCTGCTTGAACACCTCTTCCACGGCTGAGGACTTGTCGTTCTCCTCAATTTTGAACACCCTGCCCCACCCGGTGGCCGCGATGCGGTTGAGAATGTACGACTTGCCAGTGCCTCGCCCGCCGTGGATGACGATGCCGCAAGACTTGTGCTGGCCATGGTAGAAGAACTTACCGTTGAAGCCGTGCAGGAACCCTCTCAGCTTCTTCTCTTCCGCGTGGAGGCCGGGGATGCCCCTGACGTCGAGCTTTGTGACTTCCTTGACCTCTTCGACTGGCGCCTCCTCTTCACTGTAGATGATACTAGGCGCTGTCGATGTGACGAATTTGGCAACGTTGTCCGTCTGGCCGTCGACGGACACTACCTTGAAAATCTGTTTGGCCCCGGGTGCCACGCATTCGAACTTCATGCCGGGGAACACTTGCTCAGCACGTACTGGATGGTCAGCATCGCTTCTTTGGTGCGGCGAAGGGGAGGGGGGCATACTCAAGTAGAACCTGATCACTCCAATCCACGCCCCCTCCAACGTCTTGATATCGTTCACTTCCCTGTCCGTTGTTGTTACGGGCAGAATAACTACAGACTCCGCGTCAGGGACGGCGGTCTTCTCATGCATCGTGATCGTCAGCTGATCGCCGAGCTCGAAGCCGCAGGCCTCGCGGTAGGCCTCACTCATGAGGATGATATTGGGACTGATGTTCTTGTCCGACAGGGTCCAGAGGGCGGCCTGACGTACAGTCGTCGTCTGATCCTCGCCCACTCTGGTGACTATACATCTTCGCCCGTTGTCGACGCTTCCCGTCAGTTGGATGAGTGAGTCCCGGTTGACGTAAATGCGCGATGCGCCCTTCAGCGTTGTCTTTTCGAGCGTCTTATCGAAAGGGGCGAGAGGGCGCACCTTGCCCTCGATCGATTTGGGGGCCATCTTTCTGGTCGTCGCCCGTTGTTCTGTAGAGTGTTAGAACGGAGCGTTCATGAATGAAGTGAGTGAGAATGGGCAAGTGGGGCTGGCCGGGCAGATGCAACTGAGATTCTCTAGGCTTTTATATACGACGAGCCCTCCGTGATATTGCCATGTATACTCACTAGCACTATCCTTATCGTCGTCGTTGTCCGTTACTATCGTCCGTCGTCGCTCTACCGGGCTCTATTCTGTCTAGCCCTTGTCTGTCGTCCTCAATCGAATTAACTCGGTGCACATCTTATAGTCGCGCAGACACAGTAAAGTCAGGCAATTCCGAAGGTGTGCCGGCAGGCGGTAACCTGCCAAATGAAAACATGAATGAAATTCAAAAGGAGAAAACAAGAGTCAGACTATGGCACACTGTGATATTGCAGTTAAACCTCGGCCTCACCGAGTCACATCTAACTTGTAGAGTGAAGCATCTCTAGCAAAGCAGACGACCCCGGTAGAGAGATGATCAAAACGGAGGCGTACCGAAGACGCAATTCACGCAGCAAGACCATGGAGGGCTGAAGTGTCTCTGAAAGGGTTCTATCTTACGTAAAAATGAAAACCTGGGTATCTCTGCGCCTTCCGGTCAGAAGGGTAAACCTTCTCGACTTGGCCAAATGGTGTCGTCGTTAGAATGACTCCAATGACCTGCGCCGTGTAAGTGCCACCAGAAAAAAAAAAATTCGACCACACCTCGGAACAATTTTCTGGCTGCCCCACCACAGCTCACAAAAAAAAGGTACATGCGAAAAAGTACCTGTCCCGCAGCGTGCGGTAGGTAGCATCGCGAAAAAGAGCCCAAAAGCTTCAGCGTCATTCCGACCACCTTCAACCTCTGTCACCTCAGCCACGAGCACCCATTGATCGCCTCCCCCGCCACCCTATCGACGATCTGCACCGGCGGCGGCTCCCCCATCAGATACCCCATGCAATGGGCTGACCTACGAGGGCTGCGCGGCTCGACCCTCAGAGTTGCACGGATGAACACGATCGCGACCCGACGACAGCTGCCGCTGCTGCTCCTCCGCACGCCGCCGCCGCCGCAATGGCATAGGCAGCCGGCTCGTTTTCAATGGGTCAGCGCCCGCCCTCTCGAATTCGAGGGACGCGGAGAGGACCGTAAGGACAGCAAGAAGAAGGAAGCGCAGTCCTCGATTTTCCAAGAGATGTTCCCTGAAGAGGGCGACAACAACGCTCCATACCGACAGCGCGAGGAGGAGGACGAAACCAAAGTCCGCATCGTCACGTCTACACATGTGGACAAGTCCGAAGTGACCGAGTGGAGGGCGGCGATGGCTGCCAGGGAGGAGAGGAGAAGGAAATACCTGGAGGCCAGGAGCGCGGCACTGTCCTCGATACCGGACCTGCTCGTGCCGAAGGAGAAGGTAAAGAAGGGCAAGAGGAACAAAAAGGGCAGGACAAAATCAAAGAGCAAGACGGAGGACAAGCCGGAGAGCAAACCGGAGGACACGCCGCAGAACATGCAATGGGGCCTTGGAAGTTCGGTGATACCCTCACGCAAATCAGCACCAAAGACGGAGGAGGAGCAGGCCGAGGCACCCAAGCCAGCACGCAAGTCCCCGTCTCTATACAAGGAGCTCTTCAAGGACGACGCCTCTCCCAAGCCGACCGACCCGGCCGAGGATAGACACGTGAACCACGGCGACCTCCAGGCCTGGATTGACTCCCTCCCGAGAGGCGACAGCGGACCGGCAGACAAGGAGCAGTCCTCGCTGCTCATCCTCTCCAACGCAAGCACGAACCTCAGCGAGAGCGACTTCTACCGCGTCGGGCCGCAGGGCCAGCACCTCGACGGCTGGGGCGTCTCCATCAGCAAGGTCATGCAGGCCTACGACCACAACACGCTCCAGCCGCTGGGCCGCTATTTCATCCTCTTCGCCTCCCACCACGCCGCGGCGCTGTACCAGAGTGAGGCCCAGCGCCGGCACAACGCCGCCCGTTTGCGTCTGCAGTCCGCCGCCGCGCCCCTCGCGGCCGCTCCCGAGCCGGGCGACCCCGACATCTTCACCCTCGCGGCCCCGTCCAACGCGCCGCTGAGCCTGCACCTCTACAAACTCAACAAGGCGGCCGAGAAGCGCCTGGATTCCTTCAGCGTGCAGGGCCTGCTGAGCATGACCCCCGACCCGCCCCCGCGCGCCTGTTCCCCCGTCGTCCTGTCCCTCGAGGGCGGCACGCTCGACCAGCGCTCGCTGTCGCACTGGATTAGGCGGGATGCGCGGGATAGGGGCCTGGGCTGGCCGGTGCAGCACATACGTCCGTACTTCCCGCCCAGGATACACCAAAGGGGCCCGCTGGAGGAGCCGACCGAGGACGACTACCACTGGGACGAGGACTCGGCACCCAAGATCGTCGACCCCGAGGCGGTGGCCCGGAAGACCATGGACGAGACGGCCAGGTCGGCGCTGTTCGTCCTGTCGTTCCCGGACGCCCACGAGGCACGGCGGTTCGTCCGGGCGTGGCACCACAAGGAGCTCGTCCGGTTGCGGGGCGAGAGCGTGACGGTGAGAACCCACTTTGTGTGGTAGAATCTGTACAAAACCATGTATCATATATGTAATGCCCGAGACGTACGTCACACACATCACCCATTTGGTCAGCAGGCGTAGGTAAAGGATGTATTAGAAAAAAAAGACCCAAAATAGAAATTCCCGAAACTCCAGACCAGATATTTGCTCTCTAGGTTAGCGATGAAAGGCGTTGTCGGCAACGATAAACCACATGACAGAAACCACGCAGCACTCTCTTTCCGCGGCTGAGAAAACAAGGTACGTAGGTAGGGTAAGTGTGTCAGTCCGCCTGTCGGCCTCGAGCTCGCCGGCTGGCCAAATCCGTCGACGACGCAAGGCCTCTCGTCTTCCCGCTCCCGAATAATCCATGGACCCGCTGCTCTCTCGATCGGCCTCCCTTAGCCTCCTCTCTCCAGTATCCGGGTCCCTTCTAGGCTATTGTGCCAATCAATGCCATGTTCTTCTTATCATCGTCCGCAGCCCTCCGTCAACGTCCTCTCTCTCTCTCTCAGCTGTGATTGCAGTGGCGGCAGCGCAGAATCGACCAAAACATCAACATCTTGCTCCAGACAAACAGCACGACTCAAGCGCCCATCTAACAGCACTTTCCGCCGGCGCCGCCCTGCTCGCCGACATTGACGCCCGAGGCGGTCGGCTGCTCGTTCTTCTGGTTGTCGATTAGACGCTTCTTGATGTCGGCGGCGAGCGAGTAGAAGGCCTTGTCGATGTTGATGTTGCTCTTGGCCGAGACCTCGAGGAAGGGGATGCCGAGCTCATCGGCGAGCTGTTGGCCCTTCTCGGTCGAGACAACACGCTTCTCCTCCCAGTCGCACTTGTTGCCGATGAGGATCTTGTTGACGCCCTCGGTGGCGTGCTGCTCGACGTTTGCGAACCAGGTGCGGATGTCTGTCAAGGGGTCCTGTCAGCCTTCACATGCCTGGGGTGTGTCCACCGGCTCATGTGGAGAGCGTGGGTGCGGTGTAATTCGCCGGGCCGAGTTGCGGTGTAGGAGCACCGTCGGCAAGGGACATAGAGAACATACTGTTAAAAGACCGCTCGTCCGTGACGTCGTAGACGAGGAGGATGCCCATGGCGCCGCGGTAGTAGGCGGTGGTGATGGTGCGGAAGCGCTCCTGGCCGGCGGTATCCCAAATCTGGAGCTTGACGCGCTTGCCGTCCAACTCGATGGTGCGGATCTTGAAGTCGATGCCGATGGTCGTGATGAAGGACGGCGTGAAGGAGTCTTCGCTGAAGCGCAGCAGACAGCAGGACTTGCCTACGCCCGAGTCGCCGATCAGCAGCAGCTTGATCTGGGGTGCTGGTCAGCCATATGTGCAATGTCATAGTTGTCCTCTACGCCGGCGGCGACGGTCGCAGCGGCGGGCAGTTCTGGAGATGGCCCGGAAGGCGGTGATATGTGAGGACGAGGGGCATCGAGGGAAGGGCGGCGAGAGGTGAGGAGGGGCACGGCATTCGACACGTACAAGAAAGTCGTAGTTGCGGTTGCTCGACATTTTGGCGGCGGGTGGTCAGGGACTGAACCGAGGGGGCCGATGTGAAGGGGGAAACGGGCTGCTTCTCCGACGGCGTGGGCGGCGGAACGGATCGTGGTCAAGGGCGTGTGCGGTGAGGTTGTCGCGATGTGTCGTCGGATCGGGGAAACGGGGGGAGTCGATTGGGATGAGGTAGGAAACTGGCGGCGGTAGTCTGTCGTGTCGTAGTAGTGTATGTAGGTACGCAGCACGCAGCACTGGGTCGCAGACGAGGCGAGGCACACTGTACAGTCCGCTCTACTGTGAGGACGGTACGTAGCGCCCTTGGGGGAAGAGTGGCGCCTATCGTCTGGGGTAAGACGCTGGGCCCGGCCTCTTACTTGACCGATCCGACGGGCGAGGGATGGGAAAGTGCTGGAACAGTGGAGGGCCTGAGGGGCGGGCAGCTAAGCTATCACAGCGACTCGGACTCGACTGGCACTGTAATATCACTGGCCAGCGGGTGGCATCTGCTACGCAGGTACTCCCTGGAGTTACCAAAGGTAGGTGGTTCAACGAGCGTCGGATCAGCGTCGGAGGGCATCAAAAAGGCTAAAAGAAGCAAATCCTGCTGGGCAATCAAAGCACCTCGCTGCAGATATGCAATGGGAATTGGCCAAGGGCGGGAGGAAAAAGCACAGCATCCGTCATGCAAGATACAGGGCCATTCATTCACCATCCCCCAATATCCGCAAGGCGCCTGCATGATTGACAGCCTCCACGGCACAACGGGAGCTGCCTCGCTTGCTCGCGCCTCGTCGTCTTCAACACACCTGCCACCGCCAACCACCACCACGAGGCCACTTCCCTGTTGATGCGTTGTCCGCCCCGTCACCTCACCGTTGAGCATCGGTCTCCCGCCACCGCGAGGTTTGCCAGGAGGTGCAAAGCCACGCCAACGTCATCGCACTGTCTCGCCTCTCAGGGTCCAGGCCTAGACCGTGTCACGGGTCCTGGCATGGCCAGTATCACAGTCAGTCACAAGGGCGCCTCGTCATATCGTCATTTGTCCATGGCAGAATTTGACATGTACTTGCTCAATTGCGCAGAGACAACTTTTTAGTTAACCGCCTCCCAAAGACAATGCCGCCTGCTAAGCTCCGTTACCAAGTTGCGATGCTCCCTAGACAATTCATGATGCTTCCAGCGAGCGTCCACGTATGGTACAATCGTCTGAATGGCTGTGCTGTGGTGACCTGTATGCTGAAACCCGTGAGACCGTGTACCCGTGCGAATCATTAAAGGCTCCGAGGCCGTCGTAATCTTTTACTGCAGCCACCGGGCATACGCCCAGCGGATCCGGTCCAATGCTCTGACCTGCACCTGGATGCCCTTGAGGTTCGCGAGGTCGTCCAGGTCTTCGAGGAACTCGTGCTGCCTGTCGCGGGGCAGCACTCTCTCCATCAGGTTGCGCAGCACGTGCACCTCGCAGAGCAGGAGGCCGTGATCCTTGTAAGACAGCAGGTTGTTCTGCGACGGCGTCGCCTCGGAGAAGATGCGGTCAATGTTGCGCAGCACCCGGATGCTCTTGCCGGCCTCGCGGCTGTACCGTGCGCCCTTGCGAGCGCCGAAGACGCCGCGGAGGTACTGCACAATGCCGATGGAGACGAGCACGCCGGGGGTCAGTCCCACGAAGCCGAACACGAGTTCCTGGCTCTTCAGCAGAGCGTCGATTCCACTAATGGCCACCTCCAGGTCGACCTTGGTCTTCTGCACCTGGATCAGGAGCGACCGAACGAGGTCGCCCTTGACCGCGCCGACAAAAGGGCTCCTGAGGTCCTTCTCGTACGCGCGCAGGACCGGCGTGACGTCTCCCTCGCTGACCTTGGTCCTGATGTCGGCGATCTGGGCGTCCGTGAGAGCGGTCGATCCTTCGCCCGCGAAATGGGGCTTGTCCAGAGCAAAGTCCACAACCATGCGTTCCAGGCTCTCGCGGTCGGCCTTCAGGCTGTCGCGGCTCATGATGGCAATCTCGCTGTTGGAGTCGTGCCTGATGGTTCCGACAATCTTGCGCACCGGCTCGATGACCCAGTTGAACCAAAAGTCCTTTACCGTGATGCCAATATCACGGATCCAATCGAATATCTCGGCGCGCCTGTTGACCAGAACCCGGAGCACAGTCGTCGAAGAAAGCAGAGCAATTCCCGTGGGGAGCCAGTAGCGGATGAGTCGTGAGGGGCGGCCGTTGCCGCGGACGAGCTCTTGCGTGGCAACGACGTGGTTGGGAAGGCCGGAGTCGAGAATGTTCAGGAGACGTCTCGCGAGCACAGAGGGCTTCTCCACGGCGTTGGCGTCCTCAATATGGATGGACAGCTCCGGGTCTTCCTCCACGCCGGCAAACACCTTGTCTTCAAACTCGGCGACGCCCGACTCGAGGCTCAAGACGTCTTTGAGGACCATGTCCATGAGGGCAACGCTCCTCTCCACCACGCCCTTCCAGTCGTGGCTGCTGACCCCCGCCTCGCTCTTGTCGTCGTCGTCATCCACGCCAAACGTCAGGCCTTCGTCAACCAAGACACCCAGACCGCTCGCCGTCATCTCGCGCAGCCGTTTGAGGTGAGCCAGCTTCCGCCTGGCCTCGCCTCGGCTGAGAGCAACGGGCGACAGGACTCGTCGCTGCAGTGTCGTGATGGAGGATTCCCGGATGCTCTCTCGCACAATGCCGTAAAACTGACTCCATTGCTGCGCCAGGCCTGTCCGCGTAGACTCCACGAACTCGCCGGGCGAGTGGCTGAGGTGCTGGAAGCGGTGTTTGCTGTCCTGGTAAACGTCCTTTGTCAAGGCCCACAGACGCAGCGGCGACGTCTGGATGGTGTAGAGACTGCTGTAGGTGTAGGAGCTGAGCACCTCGTCCCAGTACCAGATGTCGTCGCTGAGAGGAATGATCTGGTCCAGGAGTGTGTTGAGGATGACTCCGTAAGTTTGCACGGTGGCCTTGCTGATGAGCAGCCACTCGATTTCTGACTGATAGTGATTCCGTCCCTCACCCTCGCTGTACTCGGCCAGAAAGTCCCATTCAGCCAGTTTTGACTGGGTCAGCAGGGCGCGGATCTTGTGTGACTGCAGCAGGGAGCGTGAAGATGAGGTGGTGGACAGGGCCCTCACGATGCGCAGCAGCTCATCGACCCTCGGCGACGACAGGGCGTCGGCGGAGGTGGAGTTGAAGATGCCATGCTCCGAGGCAGCAAGCTCGCCGTTTTCTTGAGAGATACTCAGACCCAGAGGGATCCGATCCAGCTGTGCGTCCAAGCGACGGACCTGGCTGTGTTCATGCTGTTAACCACATGTTTTTGTGTTTGTTTTTCTTGGCGGGCGATGCCGGGTGAGGTGCGGGCAGGAGGGGAAAAGACGGGACGGGCTACTTACTCGGCCACAACAGACATTATTGCTTCTCACTCAGAGAGCGCTCCTCCGCCACGTTCATGGGTCGGTGGTTGACCTGGTCTGGGCTGTGAATATTGCAGTTTCGTGCGTGTGTTGGATACTCATTCAAGGGAACAGCAGAGAATTGGGTAGACGTCATGCCATAGGTAAGCAAGCGACGACGGGACTGCCCTGAACAACACTTTTGCGAGGGTCGGGCCTGGGCCCCGCGCGCGTGCTGGCGGAAGTGGAATGACGGTGTGGATGCCTGAGCTGGCGCTGTGCCTTAGTCAGCCGGATGAGCTGGCGCCACTGACGGTGCTTCGCGGCAGACCGCTACAGTGCCCGCTGAGGAAGTCGAGTTCCATCCAATTGGAGGGGTAGACGAGCGGGTGCATTTGCCCTCGTTCTGTCGCGACGAGACTGATAGAGATGAAGTTCAAAAAGAGGCCAGAGTGATGATGACACGAGGTCTAGTCTTTGGTCGACAAGCTTCCGGGTGTCGGTTCATTCGATGCTTGGCTGAACCTTGCGGGGCGCGGCCGCGGGAATGAAAACACAAAACACCACGCCTAGTCATCATGAGTTTCCCTCGCGGGGCGGTGAAAGCTTCGCGGCTCCGGTCATGACAACGCGGGGAAGGACGGGAAGAGGCGGGACGGCGACGACAACGCTGGGATTGGGACGACAGGCCTTTTCAGACCACGGCGACCAAGCACCGGTCATCACAGGCTGGGACCGATGCAGCGGAACAGACTCAGCCGGAACACGCCATTTCGACGTACTGCCCCATGTCCGCGCTCGTCAGTTCCGGTGAGAGTGGCAGCAACAGCAGTGGATCCAGCATGCTTCTGACAGGTGCACAAAGGCAGCGCCCGGCGGAGGTCAGATGGATCTCAATCGGCAATCTGGTGTGGCAGATTGAAGCTTGGGGAACGGCGGCGGAACAGCTTGTGAGGCTCTTTTAGTGTCAAGTCCGGGCCACACAGGTGACGGCGACAGTGAGCGACAGTGGTGTCGAGCATCCAGCAAGCCACGAGAAACGCACCCCTCCACGTTCGTATTCGGGTTGAGAGGACGGGTACGTATCGCAAGCTAAGCTGATGGTTCACCTAACCCAACGCCAATGGGAAGCACGGCGCGATCTGAGGAACAGGAAGCGCATCATCCACGCAGACTGGGAGAGGCGTAGCAACGAATTGTCGAGGTGCGAGGCCACCACGCAGGAATCAGGAGCACCCCATGCACGCCGATAAGATAGGGCTATCCCAACATCGGTCTCCTTCGAGTGCCCGCGACGGGGCGCAGTGGATCAGATCCCCCATTCAGTCACAATGGCGTTTCCCTCCTGGTCCTCCCGTCCCCTTTTCTGTCTGTCGCCTTCACTTGATGACCCGTATCCGTATCTGACTGAAGCCCCCCAATTGAGTGCTGACTGTCACCCCCGACAAGCCATCCAAGCTGCTTTAGCATTAGCTTCGTTAGACAGCAACGTTCGTCTAGAAACATGCTTGACACAGAACAAAAAAGGAGCTCTGTCCCATGTTCCATGCCCCGTGCGCGCCTCGGCGTCTGCGGTGGCCGCTGTACCTTTAGCACTCTCTCAGCGTGTCAATGGCTCTCCACCCCACTGATTAGCACACCTCTCGCCTCCCGTGGCCCTCACACCGCCCGACCCAGTCGCCAGGGCACGCTGGCTTCTGACTGGCCGGGCCCGCCACGGAAGACGGAAGGACCCACAGACTGCATGGGCTCATGTCCAGGCGCAACACGCCATTGGCTGGCTGACACCTCGATGTGCAGGGGCGTTTTCATAGCACAACCCCGAGCTAAGGCATGTCCAGTATTTTTCTGCTGCTTGCCATTTCCTTTCCCCGTCAACCGAAATGATCCATGGATAAAACCTCAACAAGACCCGGTCCTGGACCCTTTTGCCTCCGACCTTGACGCTCGCTGTCTTTTTTTTTTCTTATCACACCCACCGCTTGCATCTCGCCTTCGCGCATCGTCGAGAAGGGTGGCTGCTTTCATTCATTCTTCCTACATACTCGATTTACAACTTTTCACCCTGCAGACTGGTAATCCTGCGCATCGTGAAGCGAATCTGCGCTCCCCGCCATCATGGCCGCCTTCATGTGAGTGTCCTCCCGACCGCCTCCGCGCCCCCTATCCCGATGACATATCCTCGAGCCCGCCGCTAACGCTTCCGTCTGCGCAGCAACTCGACCGTTATCAACACGGCCTTCAACCACACTCAGCCCTACTTTAGCGTCTTTGAGGAGGTCTCCAAGTACAATGTGCAGCTCAACTACTTAGAGCGCCTCTGGGCCGTACGTTCACCGAATACCCGATAGCTACGCGCGACGCGACTAACACTATGAAGGCCTGGTACCTCTGGATGCAGAACGATACCCTCGCCACCGGCATCATGAGCTTCGTCATGCACGAGACCGTCTACTTTGGCCGCAGTCTGCCTTTCATCATCTTCGACCTCATCCCCTGGTTCCACAAGTACAAGATCCAACCCGTAAGCCGCCTGCTGCTCGACAATAGAAAACACACCTAACATGTTATTAGCAAAAAATGCCGACACTCAAGGAGCAGTGGGACTGCGCCATGGTCGTCCTCATCTCCCACTTCACCGTCGAGTTGCCTCAAATCTGGCTCTTCCACCCTCTGGCCACCTGGTGCGGCATGGAGTACGGCGTCCCCTTCCCGCCCCTCTGGAAGATGGCCATGCAAATCTCCATCTTCTTCGTCATGGAGGACTCCTGGCACTACTGGTTCCACCGCGCCCTGCACTACGGGCCCCTCTACAAGGCCATCCACAAGCTTCACCATTACTACTCGGCCCCCTTCGGTCTCGCCGCCGAGTACGCCTCGCCCATCGAGGTCATGCTGCTGGGTATCGGAATCGTCGGCTCGCCCATCTTCTGGGTTACCCTGACCGGCGACCTCCACCTCCTGACCATGTACGCCTGGATCGTCCTCCGTCTCTTCCAGGCCATCGACGCCCACAGCGGCTACGACTTCCCCTGGAGCTTACGTCACTTCCTGCCCTTCTGGGCCGGCGCCGACCATCACGACCTGCACCACGAGAAGTTCATAGGCAACTACGCTTCCTCCTTCCGCTGGTGGGACTACTGCCTCGACACCGAGGCTGGCGCCGAGGCCCACAAGAAGCGCCGCGAGCGCAAGCTCAAGGCCATCAAGGCTCAAAAGGCTCAGTAGACAAGGTCATACGAGACTTATGACGATACACGGCCGCTGAGCGACGACGCAAACGGCATGTTATGGATACCGATGGGTATCCCCCGATACGACTTATAGACGCGGCGGACGGTACTACCGCAAGGAAGCGAACGACACGGCCCGAGACGGGCTACGTAGTCACGTTAATATCATTGGGGCGGCGTTCGAAGAGGGACTGATGGGTGTGCAAAATGCTGATGCGATTTCTGACGTAAATATTGGGGAGGCCACCCGCACAATGGCACGTAGTAAAGTACTTAATGACAGCACAACACTCGTTGAAAACGGGCCCCAAGTGATATCATACAGCAGTGTACAGAGGCGGGGCGTGCTCCGGCCGTTCGTCCCATGAATCCACCCACCGGCCGCAAAGCTTCTCACGTAGTGGTGGGGGCACGTCAGTTCTTCGCCTTCGGGACGCAGCAGTCCCCGGCCGTGCCGGCGGCCTTGTCCGCCAGCCCCCTGATCCCGCAGCTGGCGCCCTCATCAGGGGTCTCGGCAGCCGGTGCCTCGACCTCGCCAAAGTCCTTGGCCAGCGCATCGCAGATCATGGCGAGCTTGAGGTCTTTGACGGATAGGCCTTCGGGGCTATGTGTCGTCCAGCGGATGAAGGTCGTGTTGTAGACCTGTTCCCGTCAGTTTCGTCACGCTAAAGTGAAGGCGCACACATACATTGGACCACTCTGGGTGGTGGTTGTGAGTTTTGCACTGCAGGCTCACTGCCGTCATGAAGTCCTGGACCGTGGTGTCAGTCCATCACATCTACAGGTATGGGGAGACATTACAAACGCACCCAGGTCTTGGCAAAGTTCTTGAACTTGAAGCTGCGCTCGACGGCCTCGCCTTCGTTTACGAGCGCCCAGCGGCCCTTGCTGAGGAGAGTGTCCAGCGTCGACGAGAGGGATGCCTCATCTGAGCCCTCGCTGAAGTGGGCTTGCGGTTGAGCGTTGGCCATGCTGCGGAACTGCTGTGTGTATCGAATTGACGAGGCAAGGCGGGAGGCTGCTGCTACTGACCGCGCGGGTGTTGCAAAGTGTCGTAGGAGTGAAGGGGCGCTCATGGCCGTTGGGGGGAGTGAGAGGTGAGTGAGGGCAGAGGTGAGGTGGTGATGAGGTGTGATGGATGTAAGTCTTTTCCACCAGTGGGAGCCGCGGTGCTTGAGGAGTTGAGTGTACGTACCTTGGTCTGTGGCCGAGCTCAGGTGGGGAAATGGAACTCACTCCTCATGAACTGTAAAGAAGCAACAACACTTTGATTCGAGTGAATCTCATGTTCATGTTCATACTTAAGTTTCGATGGCACTTCTGCATGAGCCCTTGTATCGGAATACACTAGACAGGGCCTCGGGGACATGATCAGGAGCTATGGCTTCAGCGGGTCGGTCCGCGAGAGGCTGATCAACCTCAATCTCATTCTCACGAGCGAGGGGTTCCTGGCGACTTTGAGAGCCTCGATTCAAGTCATCCCGCCGGTAATTGACCCAAGCTTCCCATCGTGGATGGAAGCAGCCCATATTGAGTGAGCCAGCCAGGGGTGTAAGCTTGGTGTAGCATCACTTCCCTAAGCTTGGCAGTATTCCCACATTAAGCTTACTGCTGATCCGAGTGATGCACTTACAAGCTCACTTCTAGTTATGGCAGGTGAATCCCGACAAAACCATGCTGCTGACGCCGGTTGACTGCTTTACGATAGCACTGGGAGAAGCGGACCAGGTAAGAGATCTGCTCCCCTGGTTATCAGCTAGGGGTTATCAACTACCCCGCGCGTTATCCGTATAAGCTTCTCGACGTCCTACGCAATCCTGATCAGAGTTCATCTCATCCTCTGCGGCACTGCAAACGAGTCAACAGGCGAGTGTGTCTCCGCGTCTAACTATTGCACCTGCCAGCTCACTCAACTCATCGTATGACTCGAACGATTGAGTATCATGCGCGTTCCTCTTCGCACGGCGCCAGCACAGGCAGCATCACAGGCAACCCAGTTCGACATAGCCGACCGACTTGACGAGATGCTGCCTGCTCAGACACCACAAGACCAAAGCGTCACCGTCATTCTGGCCGATCTGCTCATACCCGGCCGTGGCAATCCCCTCAGCGATGCCGCCGTCGCCGTGGTGGATGACAAGATTGCCTTCGTCGGCTTGGCCAAGGAGCTGCCGGACAAGTATCGATCGGCCAACCCCGTCAGCGTCCCCGTCGTGATGCCGGGCCTCTGGGATGTCCACGTCCACTTCATGGGCATGGACGTTGCGACCGACTTCAAGGAGGGCATGTTCAACTTCCTACCCGGCTCCAATGCGCTCATCGGCGCCGTCACCGTCGCAGACCTCGAGAGGACGCTGATGGCCGGCTACACCTCCGTCCGAGAGCTCTGCGGGTACGCCGGTGACCTCGTCCCCGCCATTGAGTCTGGGCGCCTCGTGGCCCCGAACGTGTACTCCTCCATCGCCGCCATGTCCATCAGCGGCGGTCACGGCGACGAGCACACGTCTCCCATCGACACGGTGGTCAACTTCGCCCGGTGCGGCGGGCCCTGCGCCATCGCGGACGGCCCGGACGACTGCACCAAGCAAGTGAGGCTACTGGTTCGTCGCGGCGCGCGGTGTATCAAGGTCTGCTCGAGCGGCGGCGTACTGAGCGTGCTGGACGACCCCGAAGACAGGCAGTTCTCGGACAACGAGCTCAAGGCCATCGTCGACGAGGCCGCGCGCTCCCGCCGAGCGGTTGCGGCTCACGCCATCGGCAAGGCGGGTATCATGGCTGCGCTGCGGGCCGGCGTGAAGAGCATCGAGCACGGCATGTACCTGGACGACGAGGTTGCCGATGCCATGCTGGAGAAGGGGGCCATCTTCGTGGCTACGCAGCACATTGTCAACACCGTCAGCAAGGATCCCACGCTGCCGCCGCACATGGCGCGCAAGATCGAGAAGCTCCTCCAGAGGGCCGCGGACTCGTATGCGCTGGCCATCAAGAGGGGCATCAAGATCGCTCTCGGGACGGACACGCTCAGCAGCGACCACACCAAGGAGATGGCGCACGGAAACAACGCCAGGGAGCTTGAATGGGCCGTGAAGAGGGGCATGACGCCGTTGCAGGCTATCGAGGCCGGCACGGCCAATGCCCCTGAAGTTCTCGGCGGGATGGCGCCCCTGAGTGGCCAGTTGAAAGAGGGATTTGATGCGGACCTGATTGCCGTTACAAAGAGTCCTCTCGACGATATCAAGGTGCTGTTGAACCAGGAGAACATTACGCACGTCTGGAAAGGGGGGAGGTTGTTCAAGTCTCCTTGAGTGTGCTGGTATGAGGAGAGCATGGCAAGAAAAAAATAAATCAGTAGTTTGGTGAATCGTCTTGTCAATGATAGCGGTATTCCGCATCTCGTCGGCTGGGGAGGAGCCTCGTCCGCCAGTTCTGGGCCGCCAAGACGGTCTTGGTTTGTTGTGTAGCTCGTGGTATCCCGTTTCTGGGCCTCCTCGCGCCGTCAGACTCGTCGTTTCGTTCATAACTCCGCACATTCACAGCCGGAGCGGGGCATTCCAGCCGCCGCAACGCTGACTGTGCACCATGCATGCTTGTAGGTGATGGAATCGTCCTATAGATGCATTAGCGAGCCGTCATGACTGGCGTTGGGTTGATTATCATAGTCTGCCATGCCCCTCCCTCGAAAGGATGCATGCTGCCGTGTTTGAGTTGCTGCATAGTAAGCAAGACGTCCAATCTGATCTCGGCGGGATTCCCCCACAACACGGTACCATCCATGTGGTTTGCTCTTGTCATTGCCGAGATGGACATGGCTGTTTGGTGTAAGTGCAGAGCTTGCTAGCAGGAAGCCAATGGGATGGCCGGTAAAGCGGCGAGCTGTGGTGGATGAATGTCATAGATGATTTGATAGCTTGGCGCAAACGGCGAGATCTATCCCTGGACAGCTGAATAGAAGAATGTTGACGGATGTGCGGAAGTCCGAAGACCACCTTTGAGCCGACGGAGTGGCATGTGTAGTTGAGTGAGCTACTCAGAGCCCATCATGCAAGAGTCTGTAGATTGGAATGCTTCGTGGACAGGGCACTTGGTGAAGTCTCTTGTTATTCATGTGTATCTGTCTGTCGACTTTTATTCATTGCATCAATCCAAAGCATCATGGACAGCGAACCTGTCCAGGCTCTTATCAGATCTGAGCCCGATGGATCAAAAAAGCAGCAACCTGGCAGAGGTCTTCTCTTACGTTCAGCTCCAACTTCACTCGTTTACAGCCAAGTGAAGGCTTAAGTTACTTAGAGGTACAATGCTCTGGAGCGTTGTTGTGAACTTGGTATGAAACCCGAATGCTGTCTTCGGCACCCTTTGGGCTCATTATTTAATCTGAAGTTGTTGTTGCGCTCTATTTCACCTCAAAGTCAACTGCCACAAGTCAGCCCGGGCTTACCAGCAGTCTATGAACAACCCAACAACGACCCTTGCGACGCAATGCTCAAATGCATCATCACGTAATCGAGTCAGTAACATGTCATTGGCCAGACCGCATCGTCAGAAAGTACCGGGGTTGAACTCCGCCAAATGCAACAGAGGTGGATGCAGGTACGCCAAGCCACCGGCTTATGTAAGTCAAACAACGGAAGTCGCGGTGCTCGCTGTCCGAGACCATGCGGTCTGCAAGTGCGGCTTTTTCCCAAGCCTGACATATCGACGCGAGAGTCGAGTGAAGCGGGATATATTGACAGCAGCAACGTGGGAACCAGTCCGCGCGCGATGGCGCTGGCATCGCCCTACCTACTGCCGAATAGGGAATATCTCGGTGAGGCTTCGGTAAATTCGCTCGTGGTTACGTACAGGGGTACTTTTCACCTGCCCTGATTTAATGCATCTGCCTTGGCCGCGCAGTCTGGTTGGAGAAGCCTGGCACCGGGTTCCGGTCGGCTCTTTCGACATGTCCGTCGCCTCGCCGTGAGTGTGTCGACGCAGGCGGGCGGTCGTGGTCGTGGTCATGGTTGTGGTCGTGTTGTTGGGTTGGCCCCTGTGGAGACGCCTCGGATGAGGTAATTTGTCCCGCTTAATTGTTTTCTCTGTATGGGATCGCGTTTGGGTGCCGTCACTCTTTGCGTCAGACCAGATCCAGCCAATAAACCCACTGGCGGACCCGGCCCCTCGTCGCTGTGCTGACAAACCAGTCTTGCTGACAGTACTAGGTAACTTGTCACGCCCGACGGCCATGTAGCCGGGGCATCGGATGCGTGGAACAACTCCGTGTCAAAGGAGGTACCTCGGGGTGCCAGACAGACCTCGGTGAATCATCAGCAGCACCGCTCGAAAGCAAATGCGATTGCGAGCCGCCAGAAGGGAATGGCCAATCGAAACAGACGGCATCACGTGGCTGACCTGTGCTGCCTGACACAGCAGCTCCTCTGACGGCAAAGGGAGCGCTCGAGGCTACACAGCAGGACAGGTACTGTGCGGTATCGCGCATGTGGTGATTACAGGTCCTCAGCTCGGTGCGCAGCTGAGCCTGTACATTTAGCTGGGTGAAGCATGCGGGAGACACCGATTCGCTTGTCCATTGAATCCAGACCTGATTGATTACCTCAGGCCGAGAGGTAGCCAGTCCTCTACTCAAGAGATGACACAATAAGCTAGCTATCTTGACAGATGAGATGTGGACAAAACGCAGAATTGGATGGCCGTCAGCAATGCATAAAGTTCAATATTCAGGAATTGAAATACAAGATGAGATCGGTTGGCTGAAGCATGACGGTCTGCTGGTACTCTCACCTTGTTGGGTGACCATCTGCCCCGTCGGCTCCGGCAGGCAGGCTGGCAGCTGTCTCCCTCTCCAAGAAAGATACATTGAGCTACCTGCGAGGAGCAACAGAGCACCGGGTCGGAACAGCGGACGAAAGTACCGCCCTGGGACCTCTTGTCGGTACCTGCTGCTACCTGCTACAAGCATCCGCCCTACCGAGATTCTCTTCGTCTCGTCGCGTCCCTTCGTCTTTCGCATCCGAATCCAATCAGCCAATCCTTCGCCCCCCAGCCATTCGATTTTCCCTTCGAAAGGCAGCTTCGACTCTCGATCCATCCATCACAGGAATCCTGCGTGCCTGCGTGGTTTTGGCGACCAGGAAACAGGACGACACGACACACTCAACGCCTCAAAGCAGCTCTCTAAGCCACCAGGCAATTCCCCCCTCTCGTCCATTCACCTGCCTTCCCACCCACCCCCTCCCTCCATCAAGCTCCCGTCGACGTACGCTCGGAGGCTGGAGCTCAGAGCTGTCCACCAGGCAAGCTTCCCTTCCACACCACCACCACCACCACCACCTGGCCGCACCTGGGCGCATTGGTACCAACTGGCGTGAAAAAAAAAAAAAAAAAGAGGGACGGGACGCATTTTGCATGCTGCCGCGGATCAGAAAAAGGTCCAAGCTAGGACCACCACCCGCGGCCTGCCACCTGCCTTACCTCACCTTGTTGTTGCTGCTGCTGCGACTGCTCACCTCTGCTGCTCCCGCCTCAACGCAACCCGTCACTCACCCTTACCACTCGCACGGCAAGCGGGCGACGGACGGCCTTCCCTTTCCTTGGTTCTTACCTCACCGCAACGGTACCTTCGGATACTTGTGTCCCTCCACGGGCCACTTTCCCTGCCTCACCTTACGTTACCGCGTCCACCTCCAACACGCTTTTCCCACAACACAACCCATCGCAGCTACCCACACCCTCGTCAGGTTCCCCTCCTCTTCGACGCGCTAAGGTCGCAGACGATTACCTAAACATATTCGAACTGCCGCATCGGTCGCCCGTCTCATCCACCAGTCTCATCGTCCGGGCCCTCTTTATAAGTCCTCTCGGGTGCCTGTAGTAATCAATCCTCCGTCCACTTCATGCTGAGTCAGAACCGGAGCTTGAAGATGCAGAGCGCTTCACCCTCGCCCTCTGCGTCCGCGAATACCACCACTAATACAGGTGAGTAGTGGTCTGCCTTTCTCGTTATTCCCCTTCCAAGCGTCGCCATTCCCATCTCCGTCTCCTGCTCTATCCAGCCCTCCATCTCCCGTTCCGCCCGGCCACCTCAAGCCTGAGCAATTCCCGCCTGTCCCGCGAGCGTCCCATCCCCATCCCTCTGCGCTCGCGCGCTGCACACTCACTCTCTCGTCCTTCTTACCACCGACTCGACCTAGCCTGTCAGTCGCCTTACCTCATCATCCATCGCTCACTGCTTCTCCATTGTACCTGGCCCGACTCCCATATACTCTTGCCCGAGACAGGCTTCTTTTTCACGTTAAAACTACGTTGCAATCAGCGATATCCGTTACATCCCAAGAGGTTGCGCTCTCCCGCTCTCTTTACTGTCTCGTCTCTCGGTGATATGTAATCACTCTTACCCCCCAACCCCGTCTTTTGAGCGGCAGTATCTGGCAGCATCTCGGTCCTTTCAGTCTCCAGAACCAGACGCGCCAGGTACAGAGGGAGCTGCGGCTTTTGTGGCCGTCTCTCCTTCTTACACCTTCCCAGCCGCCTCTCTCACACCCCTGCTCTCTCGGGAACTTTTTTCCCTTCATGATGCCGACGCTTCCATCGAGCTGCAACTCGTCTTATTTAACCCAAATCACTGGCTCTGCTTCTTGACAAGCCTCGGGGTTTGTTTCGGACGGTCTCGCTGACATGATATGTACTCTCCACAGAAACAGCCCACTTGGCAGCGCAGCTCGAGCTACTAAGCCAGCACACCACGCCCATCTCGTCTGACAACGCGACGGCCCCATCTCGCGGAGCTCGTCCCCAAGCTGCCAAACCACCGACCGCGTCGCCTGCTCATGGCTATAGTAACGGCACGAACTCGCCGCCCTCTGACGTCTTGCCGCCGATAGTCAACAACAGCAGCTCCAACAACAACGCCGACCCCGAAGCGCATATCCACCCCGATCTTCGAGCCGCTCGCAACGTCCACGCGCCAGACGTGAACATGATGCCCGCTGGCCCTCCCCCGCCTCAGCAAGCCGCTCCTCCCGTTACCGCTGCCGGCCCGTCGACTGCCCCTCCTCCTCCGACCCATCCCGCCTCGACAGCTATGGCGCTGGACGACGGTGGAGCCGGTAGCAAGGCGAAGCGCGAGCTCTCGCAGTCGAAGCGCGCCGCGCAAAACAGAGCTGCCCAGGTATGTCTTGATACGGTTTGCGCTGGATCGCCGGGGGCGCGTGACTGGCGCGGGTCGCAGGAGCTGTCTCGGTGCTTACTGCGTCACCTAGGTCGTCTGACTGCGGTCCCGTCGGTGCAAGCGCATCTGACACGTCCGCGCCTTTGATTTGATCGCCAATTGACAGAGACTAACATGTCGAACAGAGAGCCTTCCGCCAGCGCAAGGAGCATTACATCAAGAAGCTGGAGCAGCAGGTCCGGGACTACATGGAGATGGAGCAGAGCTACAAGGCGATGCAGTCAGAGAACTACGCCCTTCGCGAATACGTCATCCACCTGCAGTCGCGGCTGCTGGACGCCCAGGGCGAGATCCCGCAGCCCCCTCCCAACGTCAACCTCGCGCAGCCCCCCATGCCGCCCGCCTCCGCCGCGACGAGCGCCCCCGAGGTGGCGCCCAGCAATCCGGCCGCCGGCACGCCGCTCGAGGCCGTCGCGCAGGCCGTCGCAGGACTGGCCGCCCAGGAGCAGCTCGCGGGACGCCAGCAGTTTGAAAAGGCATTCTCGCCGGAGCAGCAGGGCAAGGACGAGACACGGCGCGAGGGCGAGGAGATTGACAGCCAGCTTCAGCAGGACGGCCTTCCGGCTGCGCCGACCGCGTCGATGTAGGGCTCGCCGTGGACGTGCTGATCCTGGACCGACGCCTCGCCTTTCAATGTTTATGCTTAGTTGGCGTTGCGGTATAATGGTTTGTCAAGATATTACCAAGGGGCAGGCGTTTGAGGGATGAATTGTATTTTCTAGCCACCTTACTCCTGAGTCAAGACTCCCGAGTAGGGGTATTTTTGGGCCAAAGCCTCAGGCTTGCGCTACTTATCAAAAGAGAACGGTTGTTGTGTGAGTGGAAGAGGAGGCAGCAGCAGCCCTCATTTCGAGCATTCGAGAAGTACTCGGTTTCAGCAGGACCTTGGCAGTGATGCGCTCTGGATGGAGGGACTTGCATGTGTATACAGACATTTTGCTGGGCAGAATCGCACCATTGTTATTCGTCACGGTGACCAAGGGAGTCAATTGACTTTTTCGTCTCATTGTGACAGACTGTGTAAACTACGTTGACCATTTCCCTGACTACCCATTCTAGCTCCCGCAATAGCGCCCGACTAATCATACATATGAAGTGTTGCCAAGGTCGTGTTCCTAGGCTCGTGTCAGCATGTCTAAGCGCTGCATCATGAAGCGGACTCACCTTGATATACTCTGACCCCTTCTCCTGGTACTCCTCGCGCGTGATGGTGGCGGCTTTCCAGGCGGCCGAGCCCGCCCAGCTAGCGGCGCCCTTCCACGCGTCCAGCAGAGCGTTCTGGGCACGGCGGATGTGCAGCGGCGAGTCGGCGGGGAGCAGCGGCGTCAGGCCGGACCGGAGCCGCTCGTCGAAGCCCTGGAACATGGTGTTGCCGCCCGTGAGGAAGACGTCCTTCAGAAAGTCGTCGCGGTTCGGCACGGCGCCGAGGCGCTGGTTGAGGATGTCGCCGATGATCTCCACGAGGCCGGACTGGTCGACGCCCGCGATGGACGGCTGGAAGACGACCTCGGGCACGCGGATGCGCTCGACGTTGAGGTGGATCTGGTTCAGCTCGGCCTGGGAGCCCGCGTCGAACGGGCGCGGCCCGCGGGCGAAGGCGTGCAGCATCGACTTGGACCAGTCCGTCTGCGCCTCGTGGGTGTCCTCGTACGTGAAGTCCGGGTCGTAGCGGAGCAGCTCCTCCTCGTAGATCTTGAGGTTCGCGTTCAGGTCTTCCTCCTCCTGCTCGTCGTCGCTGTTGTCGCCGACGACGATCTGGCGGTACACGCCCCAGTCGTCGTCGTTGGCGCCAAAGTTGTCGTCGTCGCCGCCGCGGCGCCGCTTCTTGGTCGGGTTGTCCGAGGCCAGGTTGGCGATGCTCTTCATGCGGATCTGCGAGGCGAGCGACTTGCGGTTGCCGAGGTCCTGCTTGAGACGCTCGCGCTCCTTCATCTTCTGCAGCGTGATGTCGCGCCGCTGCCGCTTCTCCTCGAGCCAGCCCTCGAGGTCGTTCTCGCGGCGCTCCTGGTCCAGCCGCTTCTCCTCCTCGATGCGCGCCTTCTCGGCCTCCTTCTCGGCCTTTGCGCGCGCGCGGGCGTCGTGGTTCGACTTCATGAGCTTCTGCTGCCGCTTGGCCTTGAGGCCGGCGTCGTCGAGCTCCTCGTCCGGCACATCGAGGAGGTCGAACACGGGCTCCTGCTGGTCCTCCTCGGCGTCGCCGCCCACGTCCTTTGTGCGCGCCTTCTTGACGGCCTTGTCCAGCACGGCAATGGCCTTCTCCAACGCGGCCTCGTCCTTGAGGTCGTTGCTGTCCAGGAGCCGGCGCACCTCCTTCTTGTTGGTCTGCTGCTCCAGCTTGACCTGCAGCTTCTTGTAGTGCTCCAGCTCGTTCTCCTTGCGCATGAGCTTCTCCAGCCGCATCTTAGCCGCCTGCTGCTGCAACCGCCTGCCGCTCTCCTTCTTGCGCTCGGCGATGCGGGCCAGCTCCTCCTCGGTCTTTTGCACGACGACCTCCTCCGTGAACGGGTACTGGATCACAATATCCCGGTCCTCGAGGCCCGTCCAGTCCAGGTAGCCCCGCAGCTCGTTGTCGAAGTCTTCCGAGACGTAGGCGTGGTCGCGCAGCATGTGCTCGGCCTGCGACACGTTGAGCTTGCCCGTGAAGGCCGGGTACTTGAGCCGGATGAGCTTGAGCAGGTACTCGGCCGCGTGCCAGCCGCCCCAGTTGAGCCTTGTGGCCTGGCTCAACATGGCCTTGTGGTTGTAGACGGGTATTACGTGCGTGGAGGTGTAGGACGACGAGACCACGATGCCCGTGTTGCCTTTGTTGTGTCTGTAGGAGAAGAGGGAGTCGATACCGTACGCCACAGATGGAGCGCCGTAGCATTCAAAGACGATTTCCGTCATGGCTGTCATGCGTTAGAGGTGTAGTCTCCAGATTGGTTGCAAGGCTTACATTTCCGTGAGTACGGCAGGTTGGCGACCGCTTCCGTCATGACGATGGGCACGTCTATGGACGCATCGTCGCCGTTGAGCCCGAGCTTGAGGAAGATGTAGTCGAGCAGGTGCTCCATGACGTCCCAGTTGCTGACGATGCCCGTCCCCTGCTCGAAAGCGTATCGGATGTGGCTCCTCGCCGTCGTGTCGGCGTAGCAATCGCTGCCGGCGAAGGAGTACGTCTTGCCAGCCTTCCGGTCGCGGTATTTGGACATAATCGGGGGGATGTTCAGCCTGGGCTTCTCTTCGAAGGACCAGCCAGCGCGCACTGCCGATGAACCTGTGATTGTCAGCGGGCGGGCAATCCTTGCTCGCTGTCGTCGTGCTCACCGTTGTCGATGACGATGGCTGCACCCGGGTGCGCCGCTGCCTTTTCTCTTCCATCATGCTGTACGGCAATCGGCTTCTCAAACTTTGCCTCCTTCACCGGGAATATCTTGGCGGGCGGATACGTCCTCTCGGGCGGTCCCTTAAGAGGAGGGAGCTCCTCGGTTGCTGAGGGCGCCATCGCGATGCTCGTTGAAGGGTCTAGGCTGTCGCGATGCGACTGACCATGCCGAGGGTGTGAGTCGATTCGAAGCGGATGGGATTCAATCGTTTCGGCCGTTGCAGGTTGTCTCGAAGGGGCCGCGTCAGTTGTGTCTCGTTCAATGCGTCTGTTCGGTCGTCGTGTTCAAGTCGCGATGCGCCGTCTTGCGAGGCTACCTGAGCTACGAGGCTGTAAAATTTAGTGGGTCGGGACGTGCTGCGGCGTAGCTGTTAGTGGTCACAGGTGCCCGGACAGCATGACTTGAGTCTGGGGGAGGTGACCACATCCGTGGATGCTTTTTATTCAAAGAAATAGCAAGAAGTCAATCAGTTTAACCATAGTGTGTATTCAGTCTCTTCTGGGGTATTCTGCCATGACCTCTTGGTCTTCTCGCCAGCTCGTCTCATCATATCTCATTGATCATCCATCACCCCAAAGAAAATCCCAGGAAATCTATGAAGGCGGCTTCAAGTTGTCCGTTGCTAATGCGAATGAGCAGATGTGAGCAGAAGAGATGCAGGCGGACATACCCTCAAGATGGAAGAGGACGTTGGACTGGTAGTTCTTGAACATTTGAGCGACAAGCTCGACGTTCATGTTTTGGATGTTGATTTCCTGTCACAGTCAGACCGGACGTCTGCATGTCAATGTGATTTCATTACCTGCAAGGACTTGTTCATGACCATAACGGCCTCGTTGAGTTTCTCCTGCGTCGTGTAAGTCGCGATGCTGCGCAGTCTGCCTGGTAAACATACCACATTGGTGATGATGCGGGAAAGCAGAAGGTTCTGCTGGTGCTCGTGTGGGCTCTCCTGTTCGGGTGTCAGCTTGTTGAAACTAATAGACTCATCACATTGGCCTACCATCTTGCTTTCGCTGCTGTGCGTGAAGGTGGTTCGTTTGTTTACTTGACGCTACGACCCCGCCAGGACAGTAGCAGAGGTACCCGAGTACACCGAGCACACCGAATAAGCGGTAAGCCGCGGCAGAATAAGCTCCCCTGCCACTGCCTCAACCAGCAGCACCGTCATCCCGTCGCCCTCAGTTCGATCCGCAACGCCTATGACGACCTGCGCGAAACATCTCACCCAACCTTTTCTACGTAAAGCACATGATGTCGGCACCAAAAGAGCAGACGGAGGCGCAAATCGCCCACCAGGCCCTCCTCGACGAGATCGACATCCACTCAATCCACAAGAGCTTCCGCAACCCGTCCTGGCGCCCCAACCAGCGCCGCAACAAGAACATCAAGACCATCCTCGGCGATGCCTCCCGTCGCGAAGCCTCGGCCATGGCGACCCCGCAACAGGATGACAACAGCGGCGCCGGCACCCCGGCTGCCGGTCAGCAAGACGACGGCCTCTCCACGAGCGGCACCTCGACGCCGGCCACCGGCAAGGACGCCTCTGGCCTGCCGCCGAACCTGGCCCAGGCCTCGCGCAGCCTGTCCAAGCTCGTTCTCGAGAAGAGCCTGAAGCCCAACGGAGGCGCCGCGCCGGCCGTCACGTACACCAACATCGAGTCGGCGCCGTCACTGGCACACACAAAGCGGTACTGCGACATCACGGGCCTGCCCGCGCCGTACCTCGACCCCAAGACGCGGCTGCGGTACCACGACAAGGAGGTGTTTGGCCTGATTCGCACGCTGCCCCAGGGCGCGGCGGAGCAGTTCCTGGAGGCGCGTGGAGCGCACACCGTTCTCAAATAAGTTGGCGTCAATGGGTTATCTGTTTTGCGGAGTCACGGCGAAGGCGTTACGGCATCGCGTTGTTTGGGACTTGGAGCATGGGAAACGAATTGTATTCAAAACAGTAAAACCAGCTGGGATATGTGCGACCAACAAAGTCAAATCTCAACTACACAGCCCTCCGCCTTTCAGCAAAGGGTGCTAGATGACACTCCGGCTTAATCGTGATCAGAGATTGTTCTCCGCCTGTGAATCGACAGATTACCGAGAACGTATGGGAGACGATACTCAGTTGCCATAGCTCGAGGCTACGGCCGCCGCGGCGAATTAGATGAAGTGACACTTGCCGCGTCCATCGACTGCCCATATTGTGAGCTTGCTCGTGTGCCCGTTAACTCGTGTTTGAGTTGCAGCTTCAGCAGACAAATGTCAACAAACATGCCGCATCGAGAAGCACGTTGGCATAAACCGCAATCTCGCCAGCTGGCGGTTCATGCGACGGTCGTTGTGAGCTCCATGGTTGTGAGGATGGTGAGTTAAAGCGTCTAAATTTTCCACAGGTGAGCGTGGGTTAAAGTTAAATCAGCACCCACGACCCCCACCGAGGTCTGCCCCCCGCTGCCATTGGTCCAAATGCCGTGGCCAACCCTCGCAGCGCATTTTTAGCGCGTTGTCCCATCCCCCAAACGATCCGTGACAGCGCGGGCAGCAGCAGCGCAACCCCTGTTTCGTGGCAGGAACGCTGGCTTTGTTTCCTCCTAGTGTAGTAGTGATCTGGTCTTAAATCTAAAAGTTGTCGTCTGCTCCCGCCAGTTAGCTACAGATCAGCAACTCCTTGGCCTTCATACGTTTGCGCGTCGAGTCTCACAAGTCACCTGTGGCTCGCATTGAATCACTCGAATAAAACCCGATATCAAACCAAGCCCATCCGACTCGACAGTCAACCAAACCGTGCAAGATGGCGTCGATGTGGATGTCGGATTCCCAGAGTACGTCGACCCGCGGAGCTCCACGCCGGCCGCATCACGACGCTGCCTAGGCCTCGCTGCCCGTTCTGGACGGTCGCTGACATGAATTACAGAGATTGGGGTCATTTTCTGCTCTGGTGGTAGGTTTGCGCCCTATCCAAGCTCTGGCGCATTGGTGGTCTATCGGAGCTGACGCCGGTTCAGGAGGTTTCTTCCTCATCGGAGGAGTGATGCTCTTCTTTGACCGAGCCATGTACGTCCCCCTTTTCCCGCACACGAGTCTGTTGAGATGAAGCTGACGGTCTGTTGCAGGCTTGCCATGGGAAACGTACGATCTGCCCCCTTGAAACGCTGACGTGCGACCCAACTGACCGACGCGGCCGCAGATCCTCTTCCTGATCGGCCTGACGATAATCATCGGACCGCAAAAGACGCTCCTCTTCTTCGCGCGTAAACAAAAGGCAAAGGGAACGGCGGCCTTCTTTGGCGGTCTCGCCCTGATCCTGTTGCGATGGCCCCTTATCGGCTTCTGTGTTGAGCTCTACGGCATAATGGTTCTTTTTGGTGACTTTTTGGGCACGATTGCGGCGTTCGCGAGGAACATACCCGTTATTGGACCGTACATTGGGGTCGCGGTCGACCGGTCTGGTGTTGGTCGACGAAACGCGGAGCTGCCTGTCTAGTCACACGATATCTGAAGTTACGGCGCACTTATTGGGTTGGTCGGAATGGGACAGCGTATAGACGGGTTGTATACCACAGAACGGCGCAGCTGGATTTGAGCGTGTTGGTCTCTCCAGAACATGTATCATACGTTGAGGTGTATCGATTTGGCCAAAGTGTCAAGATAATGACTGTACGAAAGCACTCCGCATTACCTTGTGGTGCATGATTCAGGGACTCTGTTCCGGACATGGCCGTGGCTAAGCAAAGATTCCGCCATTGGTAACTCTTGCTAATCTAGTGTTCGTCGATTCGTATGTCAAATCCTCGTCGTGTGTGTGGGAGCGAGATGCCCAGCCTGCCTCGCACACGGTAAAACTCCAAGGGCGCCTTCAGATGGGCCGCCCGTCCACCCTCCGCCGCTCTTCCACGCTCGCAACACTTAGTAGTTGACACCGACCAGGTAGTCCGCCAGCTTCTGCACCGCCTGGTTTGCGTTGCCACCCTGCTGGTTCTCGTTGTGGTGGCCGACGAGGATGGCCTGGTTGGTCTTGGCGACGGCGATGCCGTCACGTCCCTGGCTTGAAGTCAGTCCTCTGGGCCTCTTCTCAGGGCTTGTGATGCCAACCTTTCTTGCGTAGATGGTGCCGTCCTCGGCGCGGGCCATGACGAATCTGTCACCGGCAATGTAGAGACCGTCGGCGAAGGCCTTGTCCTTGGCGCCGGCGTCTCCCTTGACAATGTCGGAGATGACCTTCATCTCGTTGGCGGCAAGCTGTGTGCACCAGCGTAGTCAGCATCCGGCGGCATGTTTAGAGACAGAACACCGCGACATACCGTGAAGCCGGCGGTCGACGCCCACGTGCTGTCGCCAGCGATGCTGATGATGGCGGCCTTGTCAATGTGGCCAGTGCCAACGAGGCTGCAAAGTCCATGTCAGCCATGATCGTCCGTGTAACTCCCATCGAGTGCCCGTGACGGGACGGGCGCGGGATGGGAAAGGGGGAGAGCTCTGGTGCGCGGCTACCTGGTGTCAACATAAGCTGTGACGAAGGCGACAGGTTAGCTCTCTGTTTCGGCAAAGGTGGGGGTTTTCGGGGATGGCCTCTCTCTGGACAGAGCTGGGCCGTTGCTCTGCTTACCTTGCCACGACATGGTGAAGGAGTGGAAGGAAACCTGGTGCTCGCTGATGCAAATACGGGGAAAAAAGAGACAAGAAGCTTCAGTCGAAGAGTGTGAGTGCAGCAGCCCAAGCTTTGACGCGGTGTGGTGGGATATTGGAGGGAGGAATTTCGGGTTGAGATGTGTTTCTTGGTCGCCCTCCTGCCTGACCTGCCCCTCTTAGAGATACATCAATTTTTAGGTCCAGCGGGCCGGGCGGGGTACACCGCTATGAACTGAGAGGTCGTCACCGGGGCGAGCGCCGCGGGGCGGGGTACTTTCTTCAGCACGGGTTGCAACTAGGCGAATACAAGTGTTTCTGGTCCCTTCCACTTGCCACGGGCTGCTTTGTCCTGGATTCATGCGGCGGGGTGGTGACTCTGTCTGGCTTCCCAGGCGACCACCGCCTCCCGAGCCGGCTTTGTGCTCTGCTACCTTACCTGCAGTGTACCTGATCCCATCATTTTGGCATTTGTGTTTATCCCGCAGGCCCGGGCTCAGGAGCAGCAGCAGCAGCAGCAGCAGCAACAGAAACAGTAGCAGCGGCAGGAGCATCGTCTGCTTGCACACATCACCAGCCTCATCAGTCAGTCAGTCGGTCAGTCCATTTGTTGACCGTTGCCATTGCGACCTTGGCCAATCGTCCTCCACCACCAGGGGAGAAAGCTCGGCCGGTCTCCATAGGGGTGATCCGCCGGGCCATTCCATCACCGCCTTTGGGGCCAAATATCTTACCGCAAGATGGTTCCCTACCTCGACTCACGTTAGCAGTATTAACAGGCCTGCTATCCACGGCAAACACCATTTAGCGTCCGCCCCCAAAAAGACGGGCTCTGCGACAACAAGGAACTGCCTTCGTCCAGCTTCACTGCGGACTCTGCCCCGCCAAATGCTGCCATCACGTGATGGCGGGGTGACTGTGCCAATTGGCCTGTCTAAGCACCGTGCGGCCGGCAGTGACGCGATTCCGCTTCAGAATGCATGAATTTGCGCCACGGCAATGCATCAGCCACCTACTGCCGCCAGCCACGATGAGCCCCATGTCGTGCCAAGCCTGCCGGCAGACTCTCAGGCCTGCAACTGCGTGAACTCAACACCCCATTGGGACTGACGGCGCGCAGCTGCAAGAGGGCAACATCAAGGCACCGACGACGGAAGTCCGCTCGCGCTGCCGCTCGTGGTCTGGAGCACAACTCGCCCTCTGTTGGATGGCATGCTTTCCGTCCAGCTCGGTCCCGGTCTGCTCTGGGCCAGCCGGCTGGCTCTCCGTTGTGGGCTGCTGCAAATAACGATAAAGGCCTGGCCCTCTTGCTCATCGGATGCTTGCAGAAGGGTGAGGCGAATTGTTTCTTTCAGCTCTCCCAGGAACGGCGGACGGGATGCAACATTGTCAACGGATCGTCGGCTGGGGCTGCGTTACGCTTGAATCCGCAGCATCACTCCTTGCCTGATCCTCTTGTCATCCCATCGGCCTCAGCACCTGCGTCTTACACACAGCCAGACGACCGGCATACAAGGCTGAAGAATGGACGGGAGGATTGCGGCTGGGCATCGAGAAGCACGTCGGCAGAGGAAGCGTGGTTCTTGAGCCTCTTCCCTTGGGTCGACGCATCCAGCCCTCGGACGGTGCTGCGGCTCCCAGCGCATGCAGGTTCACGGCTTAGAAGCGCTGAACTAAACCATCACCACATCAACCGCCCGGTAGCAGCGATAAAGTCAGCGCCTTCAGACGAACCTTGGAAGAATGGTTTGTGGTTCACCATCAAACAAGTTTGGTTCTCCTGGCGTCCGTCAGGCTCCTGGATGTGACTAGGGACGCTACCAGGGCATGTTTGGCTAGGGCGCCTCCAGGGGCAGACTTTGACACCTTCATCATAGACGACATCAGAAGCGACGGGAACGTCGGAGCTTTTTCTTATCGACAGTCTGCGCTCCGGCCACAACCGCGAATTTGCAATCTTGAGACGATCAGTCGGCCGTCGACCCCGGACAAGACACATGAAACCCACTCGCTGGGCAGCCTCGTCGCATCCTCCAGTCCTCCTGACTCCCTCAGAAGCCCGGTCACGTTCAGCCTTGTCGCGCGCAGAGCTCCTGGATGTGCAGCGATCCGTAAATGTCATCTCAAGAACCCAGGACATGATCCGACTATGGGTTTATCGTCGACTGGGAGAAGCAAGAAGCACACGGCCCAAGCGCAGACAGAGCACGCCTAAAAGCAAGCGAGAGCCAAACCCCCAATATTCGGCGACGCCTGGCAATAGCGCTTCGTGACCCAGGAAGTCCGTTTCAATACGACGCTTTTTTAATGCTACGCGGTCAGAGTGCGCTTTTTTGGGACGGTGTACCTGTCACTCTGGAATACCGGGTCGCATACACGAGACGACGGCCCTAAGGGCTAGGAGCCCACAGAGTCGTTGGGATGCTGACACGGTTCGCGGCGGACTTATTCAGCAACAGCGTGCACCAACAGCACCCGACCTCGTGGGTGCGAACACGCGCGGTGGCTTGGCCAGCATTGCGAGCCGGTCGCAATCGCGCTGCCATCGCATTGCCATCGCATTGCCATCGCAATGTTGGTCGATCGCAAGGACGGCACGAGCGACACAACGGGTTGTTATGCCCGGAGGTCCAGCAAGGCAACAGCCCATGGGTCCGACAGAAAACAAGCGGTGGGAGAATCAGCCGGGAAATCTCCAAGATTTGAGAGATTACACTGCACTGCGCTGGCGTCACGCTGGGCGGGCAGAGAGCTTGTGTGAGAAGGTTGTTTCCTTGATTGCGGACCGTGGTTGGTGGGAAGCCGGATGAGCAACAACGTCTCCGATCCTTTCATTTTAAACCAGAGACCCGTTTGATGTCAGAGTGGGGGATCGGAGTATGCGCGGGCAGGGCGCCGTTAATGAGTCTTTGGCGCGGAGAGGATCCGCGACTGCAACGTCGTGTAACTCTCATTCGCTGGCGGCATCGGTTGTTTGATTGAACTTCAAATGAAGCAATCTTCAGCCCAGCGACCGTTGACGATGCACGGCGAGTCTGGACAGCAGGCGACTCAGGCCTGTGGGCAGCAAAGCGACGTCCAGACGGGCCAGTCCCATCGCTTCATCTTCGGATCCCGGCAGTCCAATTCGCCATGGAGACTAACCAGGCGACGACGACGTCAACGGTCAGTTGTCGCAAAGCCGTCCTTCCCCCCAGCGTTGCGGATCGATTTCATCGAGGCTTGGGCTTGAGCGGTCGGGGCGTAACCACGACGAGAGGACGTGCGGTCTGACAGGGACGACCCTGAGGCTTGTCCCCCGGGCCGGGGTAACCCAACCAACCAAGGATGTCCCGCAGACCGAGCACGGATGCGACCCTCCTCTTCTTTCCATCCTTCTCGAATCCCTCCCCCCTCTAGCGGCATGGTACGGCACGATTCGACAAGGGCACCGTCAGGTTGTGGGCGTCGTCAATTTGAACTCAAATTGCCTCTGATGAGGTTTGTGATGAGGGACCCAGAACGATGTTGGGTCATTCGCCGGCAACCGCCGCGCGCGATGGGGGCGGGAGATGACCAGACGCGGCAACACGACATGAGGCTATTCTCGAGCTCCCCTCCCTCCGACACCTACTGCAGGTACTGCATATCACAAGACCCCCGAGCCAGCAAGCCAGCAGCCCTGGGCGCACGGCAGTGTCAAAACAAAATCAGACCGTGAAATGCTTCTGGACCTCTCGGCCGCCCATGCCATGCAGCTGACGACTCCGTTAATCATGCTTCGCCGCCGTCTTCCCTACAGTTCTCGCTAGTCTGACACACGAAACCGCACAACCTCCACTCGACCGCAGAAGATACGCGACTTATCGTTCGCAAACG